ATTCATATTTCAGGTGGTTAAATGCTCTGAATCAGTACCTGGTGAAGGGCTGCTCTCTGGTTTCAATCAGATGTTAATTATTCTTCTTGCTGTGTCTACTGATTTTTAGCTGTTTCACTAAAGCAACCTCAGGTAGATCAATCAGGCTCTTTTTTAGAAATCCCAGTAAAGCCAAGACCAGGTGTGCCTGGGTTGCTCAGTTGATTAAATGTCCAATTTCAGCTCAGGTCATGATCTCACAGTTGGTGGATTCAAGCCCCTCATTGGGCTCTGTGCTAACAGCACAGAGCTTGGAGCCTGCTTCGTATTCTATGTCTCCCTCTGTCCTTGCCCCTCCCTTGCTTGTGCTCTGTCTCTCTCTCTCCCTCTCAAAATGAATAAACATTAACAAAAAATTTTTTTTAATTTAAAGCCAAGACCAAAAGGTCAAAGAAATAGAAGATCTTCTAGTGAAGTCAGAGCTGCTCGTCAGTAGTCCTCAATTGCTTACTTTTGAAGAAGGGAAATATTTAAAAGATTGTTACTGAGTTGGTAAAATGAAGGAATAAAATCTGTTATCCTCAAGCAATATATTTTCCAATTTAGTTAAAAGCAGTTCATTAGCAATAGATGGAAACTTCCTTAATATATGGTGTGTACGTGTATGTCTGTGTCTGTGTCTCAGAGCTATATACATCCTACTTACTGATGAAACAGCAATCTTAGAAGATTATGAGGAAGACAACAATAGTCATCGTATTTTTAACATTGTTCTAGAAATGTTAGATAATTGAGAGAAGAAATAACTTATAACATTTGTAAAAGGAATTAAAATCATTAGATAATTATCCTAAGCGTATGTTGATTTAAGATGGATAGCCACAGGATATTTATGAAATATCTAATAATCCTTGTGGAAAATTTTCCTCACCAATCTATCCAGAAAAGGCAAAGGTTTTCAACGAAGTGTTTCAAATAATAATCAAATTTGTAGAATCCTTACAAATGTTTACAAACAACACAGGGAACCTTTTTCTATTTCCATTTACAATTAAATTTCTGTTGTATTCTCCTTAGTACTATATGCACATAGTATAAAATATAAAAGGTATTTATTTATCTATTAATGTTTATTTTTGAGAGAGAGAGAGACAGAGCACAAGCAGGGGAAGGGCAGAGAGAGCCCAATGTGGGACTTGAACTCATGAACCATAAGATCATGACCTGAGTCAAAATTGGAGGTTTAACCAACTGAACCACCCAGGCGCCCTTCAAAAAGTATTTTATTTTATTTTATTTTATTTTTAATTTTTTTTTAATGTTTTATTTATTTCTAGGAGAGAGAGAGACAGCGTGAGCAGGGGAGGGTCAGAGAGAGAGGGAGACACAGACTCTGAAACAGGCTCCAGGCTCCGAGCTGGCAGTCAGCACAGAGCCCGACGCGGGGCTCGAACCCACGAACCGCGAGATCATGACCTAAGCGAAAGTCAGACGCTTAACCGACTAAGCCACCCAGGCGCCCCTTCAAAAAGTATTTTAAACAAATATTCAGTGAAAAGTCAGTCTTCCTCCAGCCCTGTCAGAAACAGTCAGTGGCACCCATTTTTTATATATCCTTTAAGAGAAATTTTGAGCATATATAAAGCTAGCTTCTCTCTTAATCTTTTCACATTTATGGTAATGTGCTACATATACAGTTCTGTACCTTGTTTTTATTTTGTTTACTTAGTAATATTATCATGCAAACTGTGCCACATCAGCACAAAATACATTTTTAACCACCCAGTGCTCATCATGACAGGTGCACTCTTTAATCTCCATCACCTGCTTCACCCATCCCCCCACCCACCCCTCCTGTGGTAGCCATCAGTTCTCTATAGTTAAGAGTCTGTTTCTTGGTTTGTCTCTTACCCCATTGCTCATTTGTTTCTTAACTTCCACATCTGAGTGAAATCATAGGATATTTGTCTTTCCCTGACTGACTTATTTTGTTTAGCATTACATTCTTTAGCTCCATCCATGTTGGAAATGGCAAGATTTCATTCTTTTTATGGGTAAGTAGTATTCCATTGTATATATACCACATCTTCTTTATCCATTCATCAATCAAAGAACTCTTGTGCTGCTTCCATATTTTGACTGTTGTAAATAATGGGGCAGTAAACATGGGGATGCATGTATCCCTTTGAATTAGTGGTTTTGGATTCTTTGGGCAAATAACCAGTAGTGCAATTGCTGGGTCATAGGGTAGTTCTATTTTTAACTTACTGAGTAACCTCCATACTGGTTTCCAGAGTGGCTGCCCAGTTTTTATTCCTACCACCAATGCAAGAGGGTTCCTTTTTCTCCACACCCTTCCAACACATTTGTTTCTTGTATTGTTGATTTTAGCCATTCTGACCAGTGTGAGGTGATATCACATTGTAGTTTTGATTTGCACTTCCCTGATGATAAGTGATGGTAAGCATCTTTTCATGTGTCTGGAGAAATATCTGTTCATGTCTTCCGCCCATTTCCTATTTAGATTATTTGTTTCTCATGTGTTGAGTTTTAGAAGTTCTTTATATATTTTCGATACTAGGCCTTTATTGAATATATAATTTGCAAATATCTTCTCCCATTCTGTAGGTTGCCTTTTAGTTTTGTTGATTATTTCCTTTCTGTGAAGAAGCTTTTTATTTTGATGTAGTCCCAATAGCTTATTTTTGCTTTTGTTTCCTTTGCCTCAGGAAACATATCTAGAAAAAAGTCACTACACTAATGTCAAAGAAGTTACTACCTGTGTTCTCTCCTAGGATTTTTATAGTTTCAGGTCTCACAGTTAGATCTTTAATCCATTTTTAATTTATTTTTGTGTATGGTATAAGAAAGTGGTCTAGTTTAATTCTTTTACAAGTTGCTGTTCTGTTTTCTCAACACCATTTGTTGAGGAGACTTCTTCCCATTGGATACTTTTTCCTGCTTTGTGAAAGATTCATTGACCATAGAATTGTGGCTTTATGTTCTGGGTTTTCCATTCTGTTCCATTGACCATGTGTCTGTTTTTGTGCCAGTACTATACTGTTTTTGATTACTACAGCTTTGTAATATAACTTGAAGTCTGCAATTGTGATGCCTCTAGATGTGCTTTTCTTTTTCAAGGTTGTTTTGGCTATTTGGGGTCTTTTGCAGCTCCATACAAATTTTAGGATTGTTTGTTCTAGTTCTATGTGAAAAATGCTGTTGATATTTTCATAGGGATTGCATTAAATGTGTAGGTTGCTTTGGATAGTTTGGACATTTTATCAATATTTTTTCCTCCAGTCCATGAACATGGAATGTTTTTCCATTTCTTTATATTGTCTTCACTCTCTTTCATCAGTGTTTTATAGTTTTCAGAGTACAGGTCTTTCACCTCGTTGGTTAGGTTTATTCCCAGGTATCTTACTTACAATATTTTTTTAACAACTGCAAAATTAGTTTATGGTGATAAACTATAACCAGTTACATATTTAGATTGCTTCCAACCTTTTGCTATTATAAGCAGGACTGCAAAGAAGAGCCTGGGACGTATGTGTTTTTGAGTACACATGTAAGCACATTTGAAAGTTAAATTCCTAAATGTGGAATTGCTGGGTTAGTGGGTAAATCCATGCATAATTTTGCCAAGTTGTTTTCATGGAGACTGACAGTTTAACTAACTGGCAATTTCACTAAAAATATGTGGGTGCTTACTAATGGGTAATGTCAACTACTGGATAATATCTACTTTATGATATATTAGAGTCCTATATGAATTTAGACTGCTCTCCAGCTTTCTTGTAACCACCAGGGTAGGCTAGATTAAATCGTAACAAACAGCCTCAAGCTCTTAGTGGTTTATAATAAGAAATTTCTTTCCTTTTGGTACATGTCCATCAAGGGTCACTGGAGGCTCAGTGCCATGACTTTCACTCAGTAACTTAGGCCAACAGGGTTGCCACCATCTTGAACATTGCTGTTTGTCCTGGCTAACAGGAAGAGGGCCGTGGAGAGTCTCACACCATCAGTATAGACATACATGTGCCCAGAAGATAGAAAGCTGGAGATACTTGGCAAACTACAGCTATGATTAACTATCACATCTTTATTCTGTCCTGTTAATCTGTCAATTCATGTGGTAGTAACACAAGTTTTTCTTTTTTGAAATATGTCTATTTTCTCATTTTTATTTTTCCAATTGAACTAGAATTAGCTTCTCTATTCTCCACCCTCCAGAAAAAGCCAAATTATGTCAGTATTCTTTATTTTATCTGAATTAAATTTATAGATTTTTTAAAAATTGGTATCTTTATAATATTGAGTTTCCACAACCAAGAAGCAGATATATATTTTCAGTTATTTACATCTTCTTTTGTATCTTTCATATTTTCTTAATATAGATTGTGTATATTTATTAGTAAGTATTATTTTTTATTTTACTATCATCTGCAAATAATAATCATTTTAATTCCTTCTGTAGGGGCACCTGGGTGGCTCAGTCAGTTAAACGTCTGACTTCAGCTCAGGTCATGATCTCACAGTTTGTGGGTTCAAGCCCCACATTGGGCTTTGTGCTGACTGCCAGCTCAGAGCCTGGAGCCTGTTTCAGATTCTGTATCTACTTCTCTCTCTGACCCTCCCCTGCTCACTCTGTCTCTCTTTCTCTCTCTCTCTCTCTCTCTCTCTCTCAGAAATAAGTAAAACATTAAAAAAAAATTTTATATAAAAAAAATTCCTTCTGTATAATCAGGTTGTTTATCTTGAAGGAATAGAAAAGATATAACCATTTCTCAATAACATATCCATTACATAATCAAAACAAATTTTTTAAAAGTTCATACTGAAGATTTTTCTTTTCATGATCCATCTTTTTATTAATTCTAATAAATAAGTAGATTACCATTATCCCAACAATAATACATTTATTCCAGCAACTAGAAGCACTTACCAATTTTTAAGAATTATATTTGTTTTGTGCTCTGCAGGTGTCTATTATGCCCACCTGTACAACAACCCAGGAGATGATGAGCCATTAATGTAGAATAAGATCTGGCTCTAAAGAAAGAGGCTCACTGGCTCATTCATCAAACTTGAGAGATGTTGAAAATTAAACATCCCCAGGTAATTAGAGTATGGTTTTGAGTGATATAGGCATTGCTCTCCTATTGCATTTTGATTTCTTTTGTTGTGAGAAAAAACATGTTTTGTGGGGAAGCCAGGGGGGTGGGGGTGGGGGGGAATCAGCTTAGTTTTAAAAGTAAGCAGGTATTGTATTACATTTAGGGTTTGTTTCATGCTAAGAATGAGAACTACTCATTACATCTTATTTCTTTGTACTGCCTTTGTAATTATGATGTGAAGTTTAACCTGAGAGTATTTTCCTTCTTTGAACTTGTTTTGTACTCGTATTGTGTACTCATTTTGTACTCCTCTCTCAGCATTACTCTGCTCTTTTTTCTACAATCCATACTCTTTTAAGAGTTCCATCCGTAACCACAAGAATGTGAGTTAAATAGAATTTGGTCATTTAGTGCTGATAAGCAGACTATTTGTGAAATTATATGTATGGTTGTGCTTAAGACAGAGGACATAAAGGAATACAAGACATCAAATTTGAATACCTTATCATCATCAAAATGACTCATAAAAATCTGATGAAATGATTTCAGCTGAAAATAGAGACTTTATCATTACACAAAAATGGAGGAAAAGTCTTTATGGAGCCAACACAGAATAATTACTGGGAATATGGCAGAGTAAAAAGAGATGCACCAAAATAACAAATACCTGAAATATAAAATGTTTAAATAGACAACTTCAATTGTGGTGAGCAAAGATAGCACTACAGCCTTGATTTTAGAATTTGGGCAGTACCAACAAAGAGAAAAGCTATGTACAAACCCAGGGAAAACAATGGTAATAGAAGAAATGGGGGGGGAACCCTGAAATGCAGAAGGAATGGAATTGTCAATAATAGGGCTGAAAAGAGTAAAAGACACAAAGACTATTAAAAAGAACTAGTTAGAATTTAAAAACAACAATAACAGCACCTTTAAGCACTGTGGTAAAAGTATAAAAAAATGTACATCCTTTAAGGGGAAAAATGTCATCAGAATAGTGGAGTGGTCACGGCACCTAGGTGGCACAGTGTGCTTAGTGGGTTGAGCATCTAACGGTCTTGATCTCATGGTTGGTGAGTTCTAGCTTGCATCAGGCTCTGTGCTAATATCTCAGAGCCTAGAGCCTACTTCAGATTCTGTGTCTCCATCTCTCTGCACTCCCTTGCACACTCTCTGTTTCTCTCTGAAAAATAAACATTAAGATTTTTTTCGTCAGTTGATGGACACTTAGGCTCTTTCCATGTTTTAGCTATTGTTGAGAGTGCTGCTATGAACATCGGGGTACGTGTGCCCCTATGTATCAGCACTCCTGTATCCCTTGGGTAAATTCCTAGCAGTGCTACTGCTGGGTCATAGGGGAGTTCTGTTGTTAATTTTTTGAGGAACCTCCATACTGTTTTCCAGAGGGGCTGCACCAGTTTACATTCCCACCAGCAGTGTAGGAGTGTGCCCATTTCTCCACATCCTCGCCAGCATCTAGAGTCTCCTGATTTGTTCATTTTAGCCACTCTGACCAGCTTGAGGTGGTACCTCAGTGTGGTTTTCATTTGTATTTCCCTGATGATGAGGGACACTGAGCATCGTTTCATGTGTCTGTTGGCCATCTGGATGTCCTCTTTGGAGAAGTGTCTGTTAATGTCTTCTACCCATTTCTTCACTGAATTATTTGTTTTTTGGGTGTGGAGTTTGGTGAGTTCCTTACAGATTTTGGATACTAGCCCTTTATCTGATATGTCATTTGTAACTATCTTTTCCCCTTCCATTGGTTGCCTATTAGTTTTACTGATTGTTTCCTTTGCCGTGCAGAAGCTTTTTATCTTGATGAGGAAGATGTGGTTCACCTATACAATGGAATACTACATGGCAATGAGAAAGAATGAAATCTGGCCATGTGTAGCAACATGGATGGAACTTGAGGGTGTCATGCTGAGCGAAATAAGTCAGGCAGAGAAGGACAGGTACCATATGTTTGCACATATAGGTGGATTAGGAGGAACTTAACAGAGGACCATGGGGGAGAAGAAGGGGAAAAATAGGTGGGGAGAGGGAGGGAGGCAAACCATGAGAGACTCTTGAGTGCTGAGAACAAACTAAGGACTGATGGGGGTGGGGGAGAGGAGAAGTGGGGGGTGATGGGCATGGAGGAGGGCACTTGTTGGGATGAGCACTGGGTATTATATGGAAACCAACTTGACAAACTAAGAAAAAATAATTAAAAAATAAAATAATTTTTTAAAGAATACTGGAGTGGTCAATAAAATTAAGGCCAAATGGAAAGATTCAGGTTAGATTTCATGTAATAGACAAATAGGTTATAACAAATCCTGTATACCTCTTTTTTTATTCCTGCAACTCTTCTTCAAATAATGGTAGGGTGTGGGGGTGTTGCAAATAGGAAGAAGTTTCAGTAAAGGAAAAACTGAAGTTATTGTAGAGAAAAACAAACCTTTGCCTACAGATTGAGAGTTTGGCATGTACTTATTTTCTAGATATGAGACTTACAGAATGCTCACATACCTACTTACCAGTTTAACACTAGAAATAACTATCCTCTGGAGGATAAAAGATAAGAATGACCTTAGACTTTGTAACTCAGATAACACAAGATGCATTTAGGGAAATATTTACAGAATACCAGCCAATTATCTTGTCTAGTTGTTTGCCTTTTGAAGGTAAAAGATTTTTGAGCCCTGATATCTTAGAATCTCCAGTAGCCAAGTACCAGAGGAGATTTTAAAAGACTGGGAATGCAGAGGAAATTTCTGAAAGTGATAGAAACTGGAGCACTTTGAAGGAGGTGAGGTGGTGGTACCATCTAAGAGTGGGAGCTTTGGTACTCAGACACAAAGCACCTTGGCATGATCTCTACCTGAGGTTCTGCATTCTGGGGTTTGGGTCTCTGCATATATGGAAATATAACCTTACCTATACTCAAGGATAACCAGGGCCTAGGGAAATCTTGCTGACCAAAGCTCAGAAGACTGCCAATTTACAGACTTATCATGAGAAATAGAATTTTCAGGTGAGCCAGGGGCACCTGGGTGGCTCAGTTGGTTAAGCGCCAGCTGTTGGTTTCAGCTGAGGTCATGATCTCATGGTTTGGGAGTTTGAGCCCCACATCCAGCTCTGCACAGACAGTGTGGAGCCTGCTTGGGATTCTTTCTCCCTCTCTCTCTCTGCCCCTCCCCTCTTGTTCTCTCTGTCTCTTTCAATAAATAAATAAACTTAAAAAGTTAAAAAAAAAAAGATTTTTCAGGTGAACTTAAATGTTGACTAGGCATGAGTAAAACTTTTGTACTTTCCCTTAAGTAAGTCACATGGGGAAAACAGAATTAAAATTACTATATAACTTTGGTACATTAGAATAGATTTAGAATCAAGGAATGTAAGTGGTTTTAAGAAGTGTTTCTCTGCTAAACTTGGCAGTATTCTTCCCTGGTATAGGGATGCTTTTGGGGAGACCTAAATGCTTGACATTCACTGGTGCACTGTGGATATGGCAGGAAATGTATGCTTAATTCTATGCATATATTCCATGCTTCTATACAAATGGATTTCTAACACCTACTCCCTTTAAGTCTTTTAATACCAGGGATGCCTGGGTAGCTCAGTTGGTTAAGCATCCAACTTTAGCTAACGTCCTGATCTCACAGTTCATGATTCAAGCCCTGCATTGAGCTCTGTGCTGACAGCTCAGAGCCTGGAGCCTGCTTCAGATTCTGTCTCCCTCTATCTCTGCCCCTCCCCCACTTGCACTCTGTGTGTGTGTCTCTCTCTCAAAAATAAACATTAAATCCTTTATACTATTGGCTCTACCAGCTTTTACAGACATAGACATAGACAAATACTAGGCAAATACATCACTGGATTTTTTTTTTTACCTTAAATTCAAAAGATGTAAAAAACTCTGTATATAATGAAAATTTTGTCCTTCCTAGATTCTTCGTCCCCTCACCAAAAGCAACTCATGTTATCAATTTCTTAGGCATCCTTCCAGAGATACACATATTCAAGCAAATTCCTATATTCTTTAGTAGTGAAATATGCCAAATCTAACTGGTCATAGATATGTTGTGATTTTATTGGCCTCTGACAAAGTAGAGAACAGTCAGCTATGGACTGAGCTGCAGAGGCTCCACATCTGCTCCTGACTATTAATAGAGACACAGAACCTGCCATCTAATTCTTTTAGGCTCAAGTTATTGCAGTAGAGCCAGGTCCTGGCCAGCCTAGTGAGGCCACACTGTGGCTCATTAGCTGAACCTCAGTCACAGGTCTGAGAGAATGATCTCTTCTGCAATTGTTTCCTATGCCTTAGCTAAATGAACAGGGATGTATCTTGGTTTTCTTATATTTGTAATTCCTTCCTGAGACCATCTTTGGTTGTGCTTAGAAGATAAAAAGATTGCATCTTCTAAAGCACATACTGTCTGGGCAGTGTCCCATTTGGGCAGGGTCTTGAGGGACAACTTGTAAGTTTGCTATTTTATTGGCAGAACAACGAGCCAGAGATCAGCTAGTCCAAAGCAAAGTTATATTTGGTGAGAATATATTTATAATTATTATTTTAGGTGACATATAAGTAAAAAGCCTATTTGAAAATCACTGTGTTCATTTGCCTTGGTTTATGTTTTGTAGCTAGTTGTTCTTGGGGTCTCACTGCTCAGAGCTGTGAGTGCTTTATTAAGATTTATATTTATGTAGGCATTTAATCACACCTATCCTAAAAAAAATTTCCATGTTAGGTTCCAAAATAAATGTACAAAAAGCAGTAGCTTTTCTCTATGCCAGGAATAACCATAGAAATATTCCCAATAACCTTAGAAAACATAATCGAAGAAAAGATCCCATTCATAATAAGAGCAAAAATACATATAATAACTAGGAATAAGTTAAAGGAAAGTATAAAGACTGTATGAAAGAATAAAGGTATACAACCTACTGAACGGCATAAAATAAAACTAGAACAAACAAAATATAAGCCCCCTAAAGTAAATTATA